AGTTCCATTTGTGAGCCACATCCATGTTTTTTCTTTGTCTATTTGGCTCTCAGTTTTTCCCAGGAATTGTCCATGGAGAGCCTTCTTTTGTCAGTTTTCTCTTCTGTTCTTATTGTATTTTTATGGTATTCACTCTTTGCCTTTTGCACTTTAAGCAGTTTACTACTATTGACTTCCCTCAATGTTGGTTCTTGACTGCCTTTCACATAATCTGCCAGTGCATGTTTCTCTTCTTCTACCATTTGTTTCACTTGCAGAAGCCCTCTGTCTCTTGATTTTCTGGGCAGGTAAAGTCTGTCAACATCACTATGCAGGTGTAATGAGTAGGGAATTGTCATCAATTTTCTTGTTTCTCTGTCCAGATCATCCAGCTCTGCTTGTGTCCAGTTCACAATTCCAGCAGTGTATCTAATGATGGGGATGGCCCATGTGTTGATAGCCTTGATAGTATTTCCATCATTTAATTTCCTCTTCAAAACCTTTCTGACTCTTTGGATATATTCTTTGCTGACCACATTTTTCACATGCCCATGCTTGATATTGTCCAATTGTAGTATCCCCAGATATTTTTAGGCTTCAGGCTGATTGCATTTTATGGTTTGTCCATTTGGCATCTCTATGCCTTCACTGTTAGTAATTTTCCCTTTCTTTAATGCCACTGTGGCACATTTGTCTAGGTTGAACTCCATACTGATGTCAGTGCTGAAGATTCTGACTGTGTTGGTCAGTGACTGGATTTCTGTTTCTGATTTTCCATAAAGCTTTAGATCATTCATGTACAGCAAGTGGGAAATTTTTGGTGAATTTCTTGCTGTTTGATAGCCGGGGTTTGTTTTCTGTAAAAATTTTGTCAGTGGGATCATTGCAATGATGATCAGCAGTAGTGACAGTGCGTCGCTCTGGAAAATTCCTCTCTTGATGTTAACAGTTCTATAGCTTTCGTTACCCACGAACAACTCAGTTTTCCATTGTTTCATTGCATTTTTGGTGAACTTTCTAATATTTTCACAAACCCTGATGGCATCTAGACATTTGATAATGCAACAGTGGCAGTGAGTCAAATGCTTTTTTTTATAATCAATCCAAGTTGTATAGAGGTTTGTCTTGCAGCTTTTGCAATTCTCCAGTATCATTTTGTCAATTATTATGGAGCCATTGCCACCATAATAAGGATAATCACCCATAATCAATAGAATCTATGGATTCCCATAACCCCAACTGTGCACTGGACCAACTGCCCTTTGTGCATTCACCTGGACATAAAGAGACTAATCATCCAGTACTCCTCCAGAACACCAGGAGGTATTGCCCCGGTCATCCACAATGACACTTCCCCTTTCCCAGAAATGGACTTCATGGTCCACTCATCACTGAACAATATTCTGATGTGGAACGCAATGGACAGTAGTGCCAGAGGTGCTAGACTCATTCACTGAGGTCTCATGAAACCATTATCTCAACAATAGAACTCATGGGACCAGATGGCCCCTCATTCTGAACCCCACCAATGATGGACCTGGACCAAACTTGGCACACAGAACCCTGGTGACCAACAGAACATACTGGAAGCGTTGCGTGGGGGGGAGGGTGACCTTGGAATCTAGGACTTATAGTTCACCCTCCATCCAGATAGCACTGAACCTAGCCAACAACTAATCTTGGCAAACAGACCCAACATGACAAACTTTAAATACTTGCAGGATTTGGGGGTGATTGACCCACAATTTTTGGAAATTGTAGTTCACTCACATGCTTACGCATTTTCAAATAGAAGTATTCATAAAAAAGCAAAAGGAAAGACTATTTTTTTTCTAATAAATAGCATTACACATTACCGAACTGAAATTACCAAACAAACAATGCCTATTTTATATGTCTGTAAGCTGCTCTGAGTCCCTATGGGGAGAGAGGGTGGTATTATTTTTATTATTTTTATTGCTTTTCAAAGAGCCAAGCATCGCTGGGTCCCCAAGCTAGTACACACACACACACACACACACACACACACAGAGCTTAATATTAATATTCCCATATATGTATCATGTGTGATATTTCTCATAGAACATATATAGATAGAACTAAACATTTCTTGGAGCTCCATGAGAAACATTTGCTTCAAAAAGGGCTCCATGACTGAAGATGTTTGGGAACCCCTGGTCTAAATCACAGTTAGTGTGTACATAACATCATCTATAAAAGGCTCCACCTTCTCACCCACACAAACTACCCAGCACATTGCAGAACTGTGGGCATCTGATATAGTCTCTGAAATAATGACTACTTTGGAATTAACCTTGTAGTGCAGCCAAGAATATCACACAGAGTAATATGTCCACAGAGTTGACATAAGAAAATGATTTTATTGATGATTTGGATGCTGTAAGTGAGATGGATAGAGGAAGCCTTGTGTAAGAAAGGGGCGGAGAAACCTTGCCTTTAATAAATCTTGTAAATGTATTATACCCTTTGCACTATTTAATTGAGGCGCTGCTGTCTTGTCCTTCATGGTGGTGTATTGGGACAGATGACTGCGGGCTGCTTTTGTCATCTAAAGAGGTTAGTCTTCTCCCATTTTTCAACAACTTGTAATGAAAAATGACAGCTTAAATCAATCCTGGATATATTGATCTATCATGGGCATAGTCAACTATTGTCTGAATTAAGCAAGTACAGTTATTACATCAATTAATGGCATATATGCTGATAGCAATGGCTCCTGATAGCAGGAGCCAGCATGACTTTATCAAGAACAAATCCTGCCACATTAATATTTTAAAAAACTGACTAGTTTAATGGATAGTGGAAATGATGTGGAGAAATTTCCTGTGATATTTTGATCAGCAAACTGACTAAATATGGAATAGATAGAAACACTAAATATGGAATAGATAGAAACACCATCTGTATTTCTAGGTGCAAAGATTACTGCAGATGCAGACTGCAGCCAGGAAATCAGGAGACACTTACTTCTTGGGAGGAGAGCAATGACCAATCTTGATAAAATAGTGAAGAGTAGAGACATCACACTGGAAACAAAGATCTGCATAGTTAAAGCAATGGTATTCCCCATAGTCACCTATGGATGTGAGCTGGACCATAGGAAGGCTGAGCGAAGGAAGATAGATGCTTTTGAACTGTGGTGTGGAGGAAAGTTCTGAAAGTGCCTTGGACCCCAAGAAGATCCAACCAGTCCCTGACTGCTGGATTGACCTTGACGGAGCTGGGGGTGGTGACGGTTGACAGGGAGCTCTGGCATGGACTGGTCCATGAGGTCATGAAGAGTCAGAAACGACTGAATGTATGAACAATAACAACAGAAACACCATCAGATGGTGAAATGTCAGGAGAAAATGCTTCTAGAACATGGCCATACAGCCCAGAAACTACACAATACCCCCAATAAAAATGTAATTTCCAAGAGAAGTGGTCTCCCCATGTTTTGCATTGGTCAGGCCTACTCCTGGAATACCATAGTCGGTTCTGGGTGCCTCATTTGAAGAAAGATGTAAATAGGTTGGAATACACTTAAAGAAGAACAAAACATGAATGCGAAGTTGAAGAACTTGAGCATGTTCAGCCTGGTAAAGCTAAAGGAACATAATCATACTTGTTAAATACCCCAAGAGCTGCCACAGAGAGGAAGGGGGTGTTTTATTCTCTGCTGCCTCATAAGGTAGAACTAGGTCTAATGCTTTCAAGTTACAAGATGGTAGATTTCACTGAACATTAAAAGGAACCTTTTAAATATGAGAGTGGTTTGATTGTGAAACCGATTGAAATGAGAGATGTTGGACTACTATTTGCTGGGGGTGCTCTAAGTTGGACATCATATTGAACCAGAGGTTGAACCTAAAAAAATAGAATAGATTTACTGTCATTGTGATATTACACAATGAAATTAAATGTCTTCCCCAGCATATACCACAAAACAAAACACCCATCCCTCCACATTCCAACCACCACCAAACAGCCCCCAATGCCACGTCAATGGGAAACCATGGAGTTCAACATATCCACAGCTGTAGAATAAAGGCTATATCTCAGTCAGTTTCTCCTTGTCTCCTCGTCACCTTGTATCATCTGCCAGGTGGCTATAATTCAAAAAAGAATATGCTGGGTGAGACGGATCGCACAAGTTTTAACTGTGCCAAGGCGCTCCTTCCCCTTCCTTCCTTCCCTCACCTACCCTACCTATGTTTATTTTTATTAGTTGCAAAAATGCCAGGAACTTGAACCCATGGAGCTGATATCACATATCATATCACATGGTTATCATCTCCTGGTGATGCCACTGACCACAGTAGCTTAAGCAGCAGTCACACACATCTAGTATGCAACTCAGATATGGCACATCCAGTCTGGCACAATTTTTGATGGCCGTGCTCTCACCATGAGTACCTTCTGTCTCACATCCTGAGAAGCTGATTAAGACCTGGGAACTCTAGTCTCAACAGAGTTAGTAGACTTTATTTTGCTTGCTGCAAAGGAGTAATTCTAATACATACACACACGTGTGTGTGTGTACAAACTCTAAAAGAAATTTGTATTGCCCAGATTTCAGGAAACCCCGTAAGATGGGGTTATAACTGTGTTAAATGATAAATTGGTTCCCTTGAAAACTCAGGATCATTTGACAAATCTAGCCTTGGCCTTGAGTACTTAGGTCAAATCACAGGCAAACAACATACAAATAACTAACAGGAACTGCACATGCCCTAAATGTCACTATAGGAAGGTAAGGTAAATGGATGCATCTAAGCACTAACATTATTTTCCAGAGTAGCTTTATTTCCCCACTAGAGACTTATGGTGATCAGAAGGAGCGGTGTATTTATCTAAACTTAATAAGTATTATTTTCAGCTTTCAAAATGAAAGGTGCTGCCAATTTAAACAACTTTTTCAAAATTGGCAGTCAGAATGAGGTCACTGGCCTTGAGGTCCCAATGTAATGTGACAAAAGTTATCTTATCACTAACAAGCGGCAATTCTTCCCTTCCAGGTGACAACGTTTTCTCCTTCTGTTCACTGAATCTTATGACAAGCAGGACAGACGGTCAAACAACTCAATAAGTGCCTCTTTAAATTCAACACCAACATGGAGCCAGGCTTGTTGAGCACTGATGAAGGGATGAGACCAAGGAGATTGCAAGGGGAGGCCAAGAAGAAACAGGAACCAATGCAAGTGCCAGTAAAATGTACTGTCTGTATGCAGTGATACCTTGTGTTTAATTTGTTCCATGACTGAGTTCTTAATTTGAAATGCTTTTATTCCAAATCGAATTCCCCACTGAAATGCTATTAATCTGTTCCGCCCAAACCTCCCCACCCCATTTTACGTGTTTTTAAATAAGAAAATGTACTTTATAAATAACAAATAATGTATAAATGCACATTCACATGGAACAATAAAAAGAAGTATCAACTTTAAAATAGTAGAAGAACAAAGCTGTAGCAATAAAATAGAACAATTTAGAGCAATGAGATCCGGGCCAAAACTGAGTCCTGTTAAGCGAGTGGCCGGTTCTGGCAGCAGGCCTCCTGTGGATCAGTGAACCTAGCAAAATGAAGAAGCTAAACCCAATGTTCCTCAATCAAGAAATCTCACCAGTTGAAGAAGAAGCCACCAAGGTAATTTTATTTTGATCTGGCTGGAAAAGATGACAACTTATGGTAAGCTGCTAAAGGAAGCTAAGATACTTCATACAGTCAAAAACATACAATTTATACAGTGGAATCCTTTGTATTTCTTGCTTACGTCCCAGCTGGAGCCAGCTTCACCATGGTTGGTGGAGCCAGGTTGATGTCATGGCCTGCTGAGAGGATTTTCCTTGTGAGGAGGGAATGTGGCACACACCAGCCAATCAGAGAGTGTTCCCCGCTCCCCATGTAGATTTCTGCTCTCCAGTGGCTGATGGGAGGGCAGTATGGTCCAGGAGACAAAGGAGTGCAAAGTGTTCTGAAAGGATTACCATTGTCCCAGCCTAGGGACAGAACAAAGAGGGGGCATCTGGTCCCATGTGTTTTATGGAATGTTCTTTTGTATTGGTGAATGACCCATTAAGGTGGGTCAGGTACCCACAGCGCCTATGTCCATTGTGGTCCATACCGAGCATTGTCCAAACTGATAGGATTAGCAAATGCAGTCCTGGGAAAGGGGAAATGTCATCTTGGGGAAACACAACATGACCTCCCAGCATCAAGGCAGTCATGCCAAGTGCTAAATTGTCTTTCATTATGTCCAAGTAGATGCACAAAGGACAGGTGGTCCAGCATTAGAATCCTGTTCCCCTATGCACAATTGGGTCTATGGGGCCAATAGAAATGGATTGGCCCTGGAGATGATGGGTGTTTGTGTCCATTGTATATAGCTGATGCTCAGGGGAACTGCTGGAGGGAGTTCCTGGGTTGTGAGGTACTGTTGAAAGGTCACCTGGGTTAGATTGGTGGTTTTGTTCACTAAAAGACATAGAGATATAAAATATAATGCACACATAGTGATCAGTGGAAACTGGGGGTTCCCAGCTGAGAGAACTGGGGTATCCACGGGAGTGAGGGTTGGCACAATATTTATTGGGGGTGAGATCTGGTGAATGTAAGAAAAGGGTGTGACGGTGCGAGTGGCGCCACCTATATGTAGAACTGTAAGTTGCAGGATTTGAACTGTTGTATCATGCCTGATTTTGCCTTTTTACCCTGTAAATGTATAGTTGGATTGATTGGTTATTTATAGCTGTCAATCAATGTTGTTTGCACCAGTTAAATTGCTCCTCCTGCTCAATTGTTTGACCCCACCTCTTCCTAGAGAGCAGGACAGTGTTTCCTTTTCCATTCCACCATCAAACTTTCTATCAGATGGACATGAGAGAGAGACTTGGCTCTGAAGCCCTTGATTAAGTTACCTCTCAGCACCAATTCTGAGGTTCTTTACCCTTGAGACTTATGCTTTATGTTCAGACCAACTCTGAACGACGTTGGAAGTCTCAAGCGCCTTCAAACCAGTTCTTTGGCACCAGAGGAAGGCTTGTGCCTTCAAAATATAGGCCATTGGAATTGGGGTTGTGATTATTCCAATATTCACAGCCATTGAGAAAGAGGGACCTGGAAAAGCTTCTCAGCTGCAAACTCCTTGGACCCAAGACAACCAGAGACTGTAATGTATATTTTCCTTTACCCCTTTGAAACTTCCAGCTTATTGCCTTAAAGGGATAACTCTTTGTGAACAATAAAAACCTATTTTGAGTTATCTACAGTGTTTTGGTCCTTGGGAGTTCCAGTTTCCTAAAGGAGGGCAAGAAGCAATCCCCTGGGGAGAGATGTCACATCCATGCCTCTTTCACTAAGAGTTATAGCTCCCAGGCGTGACGGCACAAAGGGGAAGGGAGAGCCCCAGTCTGAGGGCCATGTAGGCCATGGGGTTATGTGGCCACTAAGGCAAAACTGGAAGAGAAGGACAGAGGAGGCAAAGAAACAGATGTAGAGGACAATGCACCATAGTGCACATGTATTAAAGAGTTACTTTTTAATAGAGCTAATAAAACAGGGAAAGTCTGTTGCTAGAACTCTCTCGGGCACTGGAAGTTGCTGCTGGGTTCCTCCGTATTCCCGATTGCCTGCATAGCCCATTCTAGTGGAGCCGCAGGCTCCAGCCCACTGCGGCTATCCCTGCGGTGGTTTATTAATAATTTGACCTGGGCCGGGGGGTGTCCAAGCTCAATATCAGCAAGGAAGAACAGAGCACAAAGTGAAGAGGCAAAAGCTTCATTTTATTCATATTGTACTAACACAAGCCTCCCTCCCTCTCTTCCTTTTTCCCTCTCTCTCTTCATGAAGCCAAATATACCAGGAATAAAAAAATGACCACACAAAATCAAATAACCCAAAGTTCCCCACAGCTGATAAAAGCAAAGCAGGCTGCAATTTTTCAAAGTGAACAAGAGTATTAGGCACAGAGCCCTAAAGTCCCGTATCCTCACACTAACATTCCCTCTAGAGCTAGCTCTAGAGCTAGCTCTTAACTCAAAACTCTGCTCTTATGTCAAAGTGGAACCTTGGCCAAGTGACAGCTTTTAACTCAATATGCTCTGAAGTTGGGACACTTAAGTATTTCCTGCCTACGAGCTTAGAATGTAAAAGATATACACAAAACACAGAAGGAAATGGCCTGGTAACGAAAGAGAAGAGAAGCGAAGTAAGGCACCAGTTCTTAAAGTCACATAGGAAGTCTAATGAAAACTAAATTGTATTGAAAAAGTTCATGGAGGAAGGCAGCTAGTCTTTCATGAACAGGGTAGGAGTCTGATACACCTATTTGAATGACAGCAAATAAAATAGCTTTAAGGAAAATAAGAAAATCATAGTATGTTTGCTAATATCTATCTTGAAATCCCACAGAAAGATGAGCCAATTTCTATTGAAACGGAAAGTCTTTACTGAAAGCAAGCCCTTGCTTGAGTGAGTATATTTTTCTCTCTTTCCCGGTCCTGACAGATAAAGATAAAACATAAGAGGGACACTGTATGAAATGAATATCTCTGGAGCTCTACAGGCTTCCCAGATAACCCTAGACAAGTTATTTTCATTCCAGTATAGATGATTTGCAAGCACATGGAACATTTCTTAAAGTTGTTGCATTATCCAAATGATCTCCTTTTAAAAAGCAGTATGGGTACATGGGCACTATAGAACTGATGCAGTTTGACACCACTTTAGCTAGTATGGCTTAATGGTTTTACAAGGTCTTTGGCCTTTTCTACCACAGGAAATGGGTGCCTCAAAAAAGTGAAAACTACTGTCTTCTGCTTCCAATTATGTAGTCTATTTGAATTCTTTATTAGCCGAGATACCCATGTACAAAGCCATCTCTTTTTGTTATCTGAAGATTTCCAGTGAACTGCTGACCTTACAAAACTCTCCCTTTACTTCTTGATTCTTGATACCATATTTTCATATGATATTGTTCCATCTTACAATCCCAGGCAATCATCTTTATAATATATTATCTGGATTCACAGGTGCTGCCAGCAAGCCACAGGACTAAACTCAACTATTTAATATTGAATTTCCCACACAAGCACTTACGCACTCTGTTGTTTGTTTCTCTTTTCCAGTGAGCTTCTGGAAGTGCAAGATTTCCGCACTGTGTACAACATCTTTGTGGCAGTACTCTGTATTTTCACTCTTAGGGCGGTCCTTGTGGATTTCATTGATACAGGACGGTATGGTTTTTGAGTGAGCCTGATAACCTTCTTGCATTACATGCTTAAGCATTCCAAAATGGCTTATCAGAGGAAGAGAGGTCTGGATATATTTCAAATAATATTTAAAAAACAGAAACAATACTTTTTTTTGGAAAAAAATAGTCATGTTGTTCAATGAGGAAAGAGTTCAAACTTCACACTGATGCAATTTCTTTACTAGGACCAACAAAAATGCTATAAAATTTGGGGGGAGAGGCAGTCCCAGTGAGAGCACAGTGTCCAAGAACCTCATATCCCAAACTGACATTGGGATTCTTCCAGCTTCCTGTTCCTGTTCCTATTGTAGGCCAGCCTAAAATAATTTGTTACACCAGTAATTTGAAAGAAAAAATAGTTCTACTCCACCTCTTAAGCTTTGTTTGTCTGCCAGACTGATCGGTAATTGTATCTTTTGATAAAGGGAAAGACATCCTACTCTGTACTCAGGTACAGCACTCAAGTACAGCAGGCTACTTTAATGCCTCTGGTTAAAAGCGAATTAATTTGTGACAAAGCAGGTAAACCCTAGCTTAGCTAGGGCAGAAGGGGCTCATATTTTGTGTTTACAGGAAATTCACAAAAATAAAAGAGATAAACAATCACTGTTGAATTCCAACTTATGGGAAACAGTGGCTGTAGCTAAAGGGACCAAAAGATCGAGGGGAGCAGCAATTTTAATGAGGAAAAATATGAATACAGAGATTCTGGATCAATTAGAAGATTGAAAGGGGAGATGCATATTCTTAAAAGCCAAAAAAGAGGATAAAAATTTACAATAGCAAATATATATTGTCCAAACCAGGGGCAAAGATAATTTCTGAGAAAAATTATGCAGAAACTCCAAAATTTTTATGAAGGAGAAACTATATTAACAGGGTATTTCAATTTAGATATAAATCAACATAACACAATTAAATTAAGTAAATGGGGATTAAGAAATGCTTTCGAGTTAGCTAACAAAAAGGTCCAACCCACATATTATTCTAACAGACACAAAAATACACCTGTATAGACTTTGTAGTGATGAGGGAATCTAATGAATTAAAGATAAAAACATACAGACACATGGCATCTGTATTTCGGATCATGTCTCAATACAAATCAAGATAGAAATTAATGCTTAACAAAGAAACAAAACTTTGAAATATAACAGTTCAATCCTAGTGAGGAAAGAGAATAAGAAATACATAATAAAACAAATTCAAAACTACTTTAATGAAAACAGGGGCTTAGCTCCGGAGATTACAATATGGGATGCAGGTAAAGCTATAATAAGAGGCCACCTCCTCTCGTTAGAAAAATTAAGAAAAGAGGAATACTTTAGGAAGAGAAAAGAAAATATTAAAGAACTGGAAGCCCTACAAAGACAACAACAGGTTAAATACAATATACAAACCCAAGACTAAATAAGGAAAATGAAGGAAAATTTAAAAGAATTAGATCTCTTTACAATGTGGAAAAGAGAGAAATTAGTAAAAAAAAAAATGAATTCCAAAGACCTAACAAAAACTCATTACAAAGGTTAGCAAAATATTTAAGAGATATGCAAAACAATAAACTTGCATGCAGCTCAGCTCAAATAAGGGAAACGTTTGCTACATTTTATCAAGGGCTGTACAGAGAAGTCAATAAGGGTTAAGCAGAGTAAGCAATAAATTCAAAATTTGATGAGGAAGAGAAACAATTGTTAAATTCTGAGATTTCAATTGAAGAAATAAAAGGAGTAATAAAAAATATAAAGAAAGCCAAATTTCCAGGATGGATACACAGCTGGATTTTATAAGGAATTCACAGAAATCTTGAGCTCTGAGTTGTATATTTTATTCAATAATATTTTGAAAGGAGAGAAAGCACCTGGTACCTGGAGGAAAACCAAAATTATAGTTATTTTGAAACCACAGAAAGATCCAAGGGAGACAGTATCATACAGACCAATTAGTCTATTAAATTGGGATTATAAAATATTTGCAAAAAAAATTAGCCAATAGATTGGAAATACTACCTACAGAAAATATGGATTTGTTAAAGGCAGATTTATTGGATACCCAATTAGAAATATACTAAATATAATGAAACATAAACAACAACAAAAGAAACTAGCTCTCTTAAAATTAGATATACACAAGGCATTTGATTCAATAAACCATGGATTTATTTATTATTTATTTTTGTGGGAGGTTATGATGAAATTTGGTGTAGGAGACCCATTTATTAAAGCAACTATACAGAAAAGGAACAGCTACTGTCAGAATAAATGAAGGAAGAAGGCTGTCCCCTCTGATCACTGCTCTTTGTATTAGGAATAGAGGTGTTAGCGGATAGAACAAGAAATAGTACAAGGCTTGAGGGATGTAAATTCGATTGGGGATTGGAGATTAAATTAAATCTTAATGCTGATTACCTTTTAATGTTATTAACCAACCCTCTAGTAGGAATAAGATAATTAAAAATTATACTAAGTGATTATGAAAGAAATACAAGAGTGGGAGTTAATATAAAGAAATTGGAAATTGTATGTATTTCAAAGTAAATAGACTAGAAAAAATGGAAATAGATAAAATAACAGGAATAGATATGGGAAAAGAAAAATGAAAATACCTGGGAGTGACAATACAAAAAATCATTAAAAAGGTGACGAAGATTAACTTTAAAGAAGCATGGAAAGGTTAGAAAGAAAATTTATCTGCAAATGGTATAGGACACCAGCTTAACTAGCAAATATGGGCACGGAACTAAGCTCAATGTGTTGGCATTGTAAAGTAGAGAAAGGCTGGTATGCACATATGTGATGTGACTGTTTAAATGGAACAGCTTTTGGGATAAGATAATTTAAAAATGGGAAAACTATTCAAAATAACAGTTCAAGTCAACATGAAATTTATGTTAATGGCAATTATAGGGAACAAAAACATAGCTGCGAAGAACCAAAATCAATTTAAAGTAGGAAAGACGGTAATAGCCTGGGGATGGAGAGATGAAAAAAAATGGAATTTGGAAAATTGGAACAACAATTCATTTGAGCAAGTCCAATTGGATATTATTACATGTTTAACCAAAGAAGGTTCACAGGAGGACAAAACAGAAGTAATTAAAGAGAAATGGGCAATTTATATGAAAAGGGTAGAAGACGGCGAAGCCAGCATAGATATTGCACAAAGATTAAGAAGGTTGTGTTCGTGGTTAAAGATAAAGATATAGAGGAAAATGTGGTATGGGGTTCGGAAAGGGAGGTGGGAGAAAAATATAATGTGAACGAACTTGTAAAGAAGGTGAATAGATAATATAGAAATACTTAACCACAATGTAAACTCACAATAGACATTTATTATATGCCCAAATATTATGTTATCTTGTATTCATTTTTTTTAAAAAAAAAATATCCTTTAGACCCAGTCCTTCCTGAATGTCCCTGGGTCTAATGAGGTATTGGACCTGTGGGGATTCACTATTGGGTAGTCCTAGGACTACCCAGAGGTCAGTCCCCACAGCCATCTCAAAACTTTTGTGCTCCTGGGGCCAAAATATATGAGATGGCAGCCACCCCCTCCCCCAAAATAAGCTCTTAAAATGTAAAACAGCTTACCAGGTTGTCATTAAGGTATTGCTGGAGTCCTCCTGGTGCATAGAACCAGTACCTTAATGGCAGCCTGGTAAGTTGTTTCACATTTTAAGAGATTATTTTGGGGGACTTCTAGTTGGTCCCATGTCATCCTGGCAGGTATTGGGATGGCATGGGGACACACACGCCCTGGGAAAACCCGGGTTTTTTGAGTGGGTGTGGGGCCTCAAATCCACACCAAAGTGGATGTTAAAAACCCGTTTTGGCACAGATTTGAGTGCAGTCTGGAAGCACTCTGATTCTGCATTTTGACTGAGATGACGTGCTTTACCTCCTCACCTCCTCACTGATGCAAAGATGTCTTCTACTACTACAGCGTGTTTCAATTTGCAATTGAAAAGAACGTCCCAGATGGTTGTTACCATTTGAGGATCACGAAAGTGCTGGTTTGAATCCCCTGGAATGACTTCAGAATTAGCAGAATACCTGAAATGGCCAACAGCACAAAGAAAACACTCTCTCTCTCTCTATATATATATATATTGAAATTGCTTTCAATATATTTTCTCCACTGTGTATTAGATTTATACACAATGGAGAAAAATATATCGAAAGCAATTTTTCCCATCCCAATGCCTTTTGAACAATTTGAGGCTTCATTATAATTTCTTTTCCTGGAGTTTATGCAAATCATTCTTCAGCTTTTATAAGAATGCCAGAATCATGACACACTCACATACACACCCTAGGAACCCTCTCTAAAAGAAAGCTGACAAGAGTTCCTGACACAGCTGTCCCGCTGGTGGAGAAAAGTATTCGGTAGAAAAGCAGAGAAAGAAAAATTATGTAGCACCCAAGAGCCAGATGGTCTTTGTTCCACTGGTAAGCTATTTGGCCTAAGGATTCAGGCCAGAATCTGATGATTCAGGTGGACCCTCCAGCTCCTACTGTAAATTAGAATATTAGTAAACTGTAGTGTAGATGGGTAAAGGAAGTAGAGAGCAGGCCAAGTTTGCCTACATTGGTTATGTCAATATGCCAGTACAGAGAACAGTGCCAATTGTGTCTTTTGTTAAGGCTCTTAACAAAAGACACACATTGCAGTGTAAACTCATATAATCCAAGTAGATAATCTGGATTATCTGATTTGATAATCTGAATTATATGGCAGTGTAGAAGGGGTCTAGGGTCCCTGCCTTGATGTTCCATCAGTGTCCATCTACTTTATTCTTAGTCTTAGTCCTTGTGTACTCACAGTTTCTTTTCTGTCATTCACAGCATTTTCCTTGATTTTGAAGTCATCATCTTTGCTTTTGGACGGCTACACATGGCAATCTTGCCTTGGCTCTTCATGTTCCTCTACACCTTATTGGTGCCCTATCATGTCCTGCAAATCTGGGTCAACCTTTTGAAGACACTCCAGTTGCCCACTCTTCTCACAATCATTGGAGCAGTGGTGTTGCTGATCGGCCATGCAACTGTTTTGGGCTTCTATCCTGTCTACACTCTCATGTCGCAGCCTTTTGGGCCTGCCTCCGGTTGGGTCATTACCCTCGAGCAGGTGTGAGATTAGGATATGAATCTAGAAGCAATTTTAGCTGAAATTCAGTTTGGATGCCCAAAGCACATACTCCTTACATATAAGAATGCTGCAAGGAAGATTGAAAATGTTGTTGATGATAGTAATATTTATTTTTCTGCATGGGTCTTCTATGGCAAGCTATTCAATGCATTACCCTTTGTTGCCACCTAATGTTCAGTCTTACTTTGCCAACTCATAGTCTTCTTTGGCAAGTTATTAATTGCATTGGACTTTGATGACACCTAGTGTTCAGATGCAGACTGTAGCCAGGAAATCAGAAGACGCTTACTTCTTGGGAGGAGAGCAATGTCCAGTCTCGATAAAATAGTGAAGAGTAGAGACATCAGACTGACAACAAAGATCCGCCTAGTCAAAGCCATGGTATTTCCTGTAGTAACCTACGGATGTGAGAGCTGGACCTTAGGGAAGGCTGAGCGAAGGAAGATCGATGCTTTTGAACTGTGGTGTTGGAGGAAAGTGCTGAGAGTGCCTTGGACTGCGAGAAGATCCAACCAGTCCATCCTCCAGGAAATAAAGCCCGACTGCTCATTGGAGGGAAAGATACTAGAGAAAAAGTTGAAGTACTTTGGCCACATCATGAGGAGACAGGAAAGCCTAGAGAAGACAATTATGCTGGGGAAAGTGGAAGGCAAAAGGAAGAGGGGCCGACCAAGGGCAAGATGGATGGATGGCATCCTTGAAGTGACTGGACTGACCTTGAGGGAGCTGGGGGTGGTAACGGCCGACAGGGAGCTCTGGCGTGGGCTGGTCCATGAGGTCACGAAGAGTCGGAGACGACTGAACGAATGAACAACAACAAGTGTTCAGGCTTATATTGCAAATTCATAGTCTTCTTTGGTAAGCTATTGATTGCATTGCACTTTGGTGACACCTAGTGTTCAGTCTTATATTTCAGAAAACTCCTTGTTATTTTATAGAAAAGGACAGACATTCCCTGAGTTTAGAAATAGCAATGTGAGAACAGTAACGTTCCTGGGTTGTTGTAGGTTTTTTCAGGCTATATGGCCATGGTCTAGAGGCATTCTCTCCTGACGTTTCTCTCCATGCCTCTAGACCATGGCCATATAGCCCGAAAAACCTACAACAACCCAGTGATTCCAGCCATGAAAGCCTTTGACAATACATAGTTATGTTCCTATTTGCCACTCACAGAATTAGAGGGCTCCTTGGTTTACATTTCATAATGGCCCAACATTGACACCCCAGCAGAACCTTGATCATTCTCCTCAGTGTCTTGAGGCAAAGAGACAATCACAGGCTGAGCCCCTACAACACCTAGTGTTCTGTCTTATATTTCAGAAAACTGCTTCCTTGTCATTCTGCGAAAAAGAAGGGGCAGGCATCCCCTGAGTTTAAAAAATAGCAACATTCTTACCTGCCACTCACAGAATTAGGGAGCTCCTTGGCTTACATTTCAACATGGTCCCAACATTGACACAGTCATGGGTGTTTGGCTTTGTGGGAAGTTGTCACTGCTGGCAAACAAGGACCATAGTTTCAAACAAGCAGTAACCAGAGGGGAGAGCAGATCCATGTATATCAGAGCCATGAGCTACTCAAAGCCAGATCAGAACCAACTGAAGGGGAAACTTATTTTGCTCACCCACTCCATGCTAAGCTAGTAGGTATAATGGCTTCACCAACTCAAGGGGAAACTTATTTTGTTCTTGTTTCATCCACTCCATGCAAAGCTGGTAGGTATAATGCCAGCCTTTGATTTTCCACAATGGCAATACTGAGCCTCAAGTGAGAGCAGCATCACCTTGTCTGCTAAACCTGAGAAAAGAACATGAGTGTAAAACTCCTCCCTTAAGTACGGAGATGGTGGCTTCGGTTCCCAATTCAGGTCTTGTCTCAGCAGCTCCTAAACACTAAGTCCCAAGCCCCTTCTACACTTCCATATAATCCAGATTATCAATTCAGATAATCCACATTATCTGCTTTGAACTGGATTATATGAGTCTATACTGCCAAATAATCCAGTTCAAATCAGATAATCTGGATTTTATATGGCAATGTAGAAGGGGTCCCAGATATGTGTTGTTTCAATAATTGCTTTCCCTTCTTGTTTAGATCCGGTTCCTGATGAAAAGCTATTCCTTTCTGCGGGAAACTGTGCCTCCAATCCTTCAGGCCAGGTCAAATGATGGTGAGCTTAATTTGGAAACCCCCTGGGGTTACTAGGAAAGAAAGAATCTGATTTCCAGTTTTTATAATTCCTTCTTTACCCTTGGTATGCCAGGTGACATGAGAACAGGGCTCTTGTATCCATGATGGTTGAGAAGAAGGGGAAATGTCTATAAGAAGTGCTTATATGATAGTTTTCCAAGCCCTGTTTCAGGATATGACTTTTCTCAGCATGCCATACAAACCCATGTCTATTTCTTCCTCAGTGGTCTCAGATGCTCTTTTTTTCCTGTCCCCTTTCAGGGAAGATGCAGCTACCTCAATTCTCTACTTATCTGTATTTTCTCTTCTGCCCTACTTTGATCTACAGGGAGAACTATCCAAGGTGAGTCCTTTCCACACATATCTGTAGTCACATATGGCTTCTTACATCCACAATTCCACCACAATGATCAGAAAAAGGAATTAGGGGAAGATGTATCCTCAGAACGCAGAGTTTATTGTGACTGAACCTGGCACACTTCATGGGTTGGACTGTGGTTCCCATACAGAATGCCAGTTCTTCAATAGTCTTGCCAAAAAATTCCTGATTTTTTTAAAAAACTGATCTAATACCTCCTGTTCTCCTTGTGCTATTCACAGGACACCTTGTGTTCGATGGAAGTATGTCATCGAGAACTTTGCTAAGGTGAGAGACACTGAACGCCTATATTTGAAGGGTCCATGGCCAAAAGTACGATTTGTTACTCGTCATTTAAAGTTTCCATAATGTCTTAGCTAAAAGGATGTCTTATGAGATGCATTGTGGGAAATTAAAGCAATCACAGTATCCAGCTACATCAAGCCCCACTGGAATTTTTTTAAGGGCTCTGCTGAACTTGGCTTCATTTTCATGCTAATCTTAAATGCATCCTCACACTGATGGAGCTTTCTTCCTTTTTCATGCAGTTCCTGATCTGCCTGTTTTATGGAGCCATGCTCTTCAAGTGCTTCACAATTCCTATCTTCAGCAACATGAATAAGCAGCCCCTCACCTTCCGAAGTTTCATGCTGATTGTCTTCAGTGCAACATTGGCAGGTAAATGGGCAGAGTAGTGGCATTGTTTGCATGATGAAGATGAGCCAAAGTAATCAACTGAAAAAGTCAGGGATGTAGCGTTTTTCAGATGGAAGCTTATTCACCTTGGCCTCCATATTCAACCATAACCATCAGCCCCATAGTAATTTTTCGGCTCCCACCAACCTTTTCCCTCTCACAATCTCAAAATTTCAACTGCATGTCTTTCCAGACAAGGTAAGCCACATTTTTGTATAAACCAACTAATCCTGCAGAATATCATGTTGATTGCTCGTTTTTTCAAAATATGCCGCATTTCTTTGTTTATAACCATGCATAGATTCACTGAGCATCTTTCCTTGTCCCTTCCTGCCTTTAAGATCATGTTATCTGAAGGAATCACTGGCATAGTTCAACCTAGGGCCCTTCCACACAGCCATATAACCCAGAATATCAAGGTAGATAACCCACAATATCTGCTTTGAACTAGGTTATCTGAGTCTACACTGCCAGATAATCCAATTCAATGTGGATTTTATATAGCTGCGTGGAGAGGGCTGGAGTGTAATCAGAACATCTTCAGATTATCCAGCATTATTTATCAAGTAATGTCAAATGTTGCGGCCTCAAATGTTTCCTACTCATTTTCCATATTTTTATTATCAGTTGGTGCAATTGAGGTGACTTATTTTTTCTGTCCCCACAGCATTATATTTGGCAATTCTGATTTGGTACACCTTTCTCCACTGTTGGCTCAATGCCTTTGCCGAAATTATGCGCTTTGCTGACCGCACTTTCTACAAGGTGATTGCAGGGGTTTGGTAGGGGTCCAGAGAAAGGGCTCGACTGTCTTATGCTCCATTCTATATGTAAAAGCCTCATGGCTTATCTGGCTTCACATAAATGCTGACATTCACATTTGATATAGAAATTGCAAGTCTTCACAGTTCCGTTGAAAATAAAATGGCTAATATCTCTCTGAGTGTGGTTCTACACAGCCTCATAAACCAAGTCAGGATGTGGATTAAAGGGAACCAGTTTGTATGGAGCGTCTCTACAAAAACACCTTAGGATCTGGTTTCAGGCTGGGATGATGGGCACAAAGTTCCACAGATTGCAGACCAATTCAAAGCAGATCAATTCAAATATTGTTTTTCCTTGCCAAGTCTGTTGGGATTCGCTGATGCGGTGAGCGAGCTTTTTATTCTAGGTCTTTCAATACTGTCAGCACTAGCCCAGTCCTGATTATTGCCCCACATTTTTTGGTCTCAGAATCTAACTCTGTATAGAGTATACACTGATCAACTACAGCAGAATTTATGACTTATTCTGGAATTTCCAGTCAGTTTATATATATATATATATATATATACACACACACATACACACACACACACATACTGTTTTAGGCTTGTTGCATGCTTCAGAGCACATTGGGAGTGTATGTTTTGCAGCCTACCCCCACCCCCTGCCTGTAGACAGGTTCGAACTGCACTATAACGCTTGTGTAGAGCCTCTTAAAGATTTCTTCTAATATACTACATTTACTTGAGTATAAGGCACCAATGAATGTTATGTACACCTCAATTACAAAAAAGTATTTGCTATCGAATGTAATATAGGGTGGTGGTGACGACAAAAGTGCTGATGGGAAGTTGCACCTTTCCATCAGGCTTGATGAAAACCGATGATGGCCATGGAAAGACTGATGGAAGCCACACCCCTCCATCTGGACTTTCCACCAGTATTTTCACCACTGCCTCTCTCTCCTCTGTTCCTAGTTGGGAACTCTTGCCCAACAGCTCAGACAGATTTAATTGCACGATTCTAATATGTCATCAAATCTAATGCACACATCAATTTTTGAGTTTAGCCAAACAACATATTAGCAAAGTAGTTTATTGATGATTATATGTTAAAAGTAATTCAGCAAAATCATGTAAAAGTCTATGACCAAAAACAGGAATAATCCACAGAGTTAAGAGTACATGATTTGCATCAGAAACCAGGAATACAAGAGCAGGATAAGTCCAAATATTCAACACAAGAATAGTCCACAGAAACATGAAATGTGAATAAAGGAAACAGGAAGTGTGAACACAAGGAAACCTGGACTAAAAATCCCTTGGAAGGACTGATTTAGCTTCAATATCAATGTTGCCTGGAATGAGGGAATATTCTGTTGGCCTTTCTGATATAGACAGAAAACTACGCTGTTGCCCTTCGAAACCAGATAAGGGTTTTTTTCATTAATAGGCAAGCTGACCTTCACACAGCTACTCTCTGTTGACGGAACATAATTCTCCTATCTAATTGCTGCTCATTACCCTGTCCACCTAGAGAATCTAAATCATCCTCCCCTAAGCTCAACTCTGCCTCATCTCTAGGGAACGGCCTTGAGTCTTCATTCCCAGAGTCTAAAATCTCCTGATGCTCCTGCTGGTCCGCAGGCCCAAAATCCCCACTGTCATAATCAACCTGTCTAACAGACCCAGAATCTCCAACAGAATCCCCAGTGAGATCAGGGACAGCCACAATCACAGACTGAACTACAACACAAGTAACTGGCTATGGATCTAGGTGACAAACAATATTTGTAATATTTCTTATATGCCATTGATTCTAATACACATCTCAATTTTAGAGTTGTAGTTTAGCCAAATAAAATGCACGTTAAACTCAAGTAACTGGCTACAAATCTAAGTGACAAACAATATTTTTCAAAGGAACAGATCACAAGTCCAAAGTTATGATATAGACTGGAGAGCATCTCCTTCCCTAGAATTACAAAATTAAGCATAGGCAGAAGTAGATGGGGGAAGATGACAATTCTATCAACTCTTATGAAGTCTGGTTGTCCTTTCTTTTTTCTTTTCTATCTGCCCAGGACTGGTGGAACGCCACATCTATCTTTCCATTCTTACGGAATTGGAATATAATAGTACATGATTGGCTGCACTGTTATATCTATCAGGACCTTCTGTGGGTAAGTAAGTCTTGGTAAAACAGATTTAAAGGAAGTCCAGTTCATTGAGTGAATAGAGAAGATAGAAACAGAGAGGCACATACAGCAGAAATGGAAAATCCATGTCTGTCCAGATACTTTGCCAGAATTTTTTTTTTTACTTAAAGCCCCACCATCCAATATAAGTAGTCTAATGATCAGGGAAGGTCGCACAACCACATATGTATCCAACAACATTTGGTAGATCACAGCTTATTCAATCCTGACAATCCATTTCCAACCTGGAAGAACAATTCATACTCTTTCATCAAATGCTCAGATGCTTTTTATATAATCCCACCGTGTGGCTTACCTGTGTTTCTTGCCTTCCAGGTATTCAAATTAAAGGGCCAGTCTGTGGCTGCATTGTCCACCTTCATTGTTTCAGGCGCTTTTCATGAATATGTCTTCATGATGAGTTTTGGCTTCTTCTACCCGCTTCTGTTCATATCCTGGCTTACTGTCTTCTCATCAGGTCAGTACTGCCTTAAAGGACCCATTAGAGCAGAAAACATCTTAACATTGAATGTATTAGTTTTTGAAAATCCATGTCTGCAAATGTAGAAAATATAAGTAGAGGTTTCTAAAGGGAAACCATAAAATGTGTTTTTTTAAAAAAAAAAATTAGTCACTATAAATCTAATCATGACTAAATGTAAAATACAGAGGAATAAAGTTGGCTCACTCACTTTTTGAGACAGCCCCCCCCAGTCCACCACCACCACCAAAGAAGCCCAAACTGCTTGTTAAGTTATCATCATCTAGCTCTGAATATTGGTTCTTCTCTCCTGCATTTACCACTAGATTTATTTATTTATTATTTCAAACATTTATATCCTGTCCTTCTCTACCTTTAAGGGGAGACTCAGGGCAGCTTATAACAGCAGCAATTCAATGCCGGCAACATACAAAACATTACAATGAAAACATTACACAGTAAATAAAACATGAAATTAAAAACCATTTAAAACATTGTTATTAACCATAGAGCCATTAGGCTTGGTTGATCATGTTCGTTAGTTTCTAAACTCGTTATGAATTCGTATTTAAATTAGCTTCGATCCAATATCGAGCCATGCAGGAATAGTGTGAGGAGTAATTAAGAATCGAAACAATTTCCCCATTTTTCGTAATTATTTATATAATTATTTCGTAATTATGTCTGGTGCAAGTTTTACAATCTCACAGTTTCTCTTCCTTCCCCAGTAGCAAGCTGTGCATTTACCCCACTTCCGGTCCCTGACCTCAGCTTAAGCCGATGAATTTCCTCTCTCTCTCCCTTCCTGCCGGCCACCTTTGCTCTGCTGCTTCCCTCCTCTTTACTCATGCTTCTTCTTGCCTCACTCTATGCCACAGCAATGCGTTGACGGGTACAGCTAGTATAATATATAATATAATAATTAATATAATATATATAATATAAATATAATATACAATAATATAATATAATTATAATAATATAATATAATATATTTATATTATAATATTATATTATATTATATATATAATATTAATATATTATATTATATTATATTATATTATTATATATTATTATATATTATATTATATAATATATATATTATATTATTATAATATTATATTATATTATTGTATATTATATTATATTATTATAACAACAAAAATAGCTAGAAGCACTTAATTCAGTGTATCTATCAAGAACTTAAAGTCTGTAGCAAATTGCTGTGCAAAAACGTAATTTAGCAAATAATCTGGATTATCCTGGGAAATAATCTGGGATAACAGAACGTTCAAGCAAACTGCTTCCAAATCACAGGGTTAGACAACACAAGTAAACAAGGTAGAAGCAAGGAAAAGCGTTCTCAAAAAACTGTCCCAAGTTAGAATGAGATGTCCATCCAAAAACAATCCGAAGTCAGAACGGAGTCAGCACTTACAGGAATCCAGTCTTTAAAACGCTTTAAAACGGCTTGTCTTAACCCAGCTAAACGTCTTCCTGGCCCAGCATCTTAAAACTATTATTATATTATATTATTATTATTAAGAATGGATGGCCATCTGTCAGGGGTGCTTTAATATACAATTATATTAATATAATATAATAACATACAATTATAACATATAATATAATAATAATATAATATAATAATATATAATATATAATATAATATATAATAATATATATAATATATTATAATATAATATACAATAATATAATATTATAATAATATAATATAATATATATAATATATTATAATATAATATACAATCATATAATATAATAATATTATAATAATATAATATAGTTGTTGTTAGTTTTATCACACCAACAGTCAACCACAGAGGGAGAGGGAAGCTTCAGAAGTTCCCCCTGTCCTGTTTGGAGATTTTTTTTCGTGTATTGCGCAATTGCGTCCGCCATTAACAAATTGATTCGTATATTTACGAAATTTCGTAAATATCAAAATTTTGAAATCTGATATTTCGGAAATCCTTTTAGATTAGAAATGCGGGTGCCCCTAGATACAAAACGAGTTTAGAATCAATTTTTTTCTTGATCAACCAAGCCTAATAGCCATATCCGAGTTTGATTCAACGACCACTGGCCCAGTCCAGAGCCTGTCCATAGTCCAATCTAGTCCACTAGAAGGGCTTCAGTTCAATTATTTTTGCAGTGAGGGAAAAGAGAGAGAAGTCATACACAGAATGCAAAAAGAAAAGATAAACAGCAGGAGACGAGAAAGAAATTAGAAAAAGTAGGGGAAAGCCATATATACCAAGAAAAGTAACAGAGAGCAAAGTTTCAGGTTTCAAGAAGAGATTGTCTGATCCTAAATTGGCTCACTGGCGCAAAATGAGCAGAGGGGAGAACAGATCACACATCCTGATTTCAGATCATTTTAGGCAAAAAAAATGTTGGGGGGTACATGGTGTGGGTTTAAAAGTGGTGGAAATATCCTTCACAGCCCTAGAATGCATTGGGGGGGGGGGGCATTAAGGAATAAGCAAAAATATTTTTATTCTCTGGAAAACTTTGGGATCACAAAAATGCCAGGAGCCTCAAGCAGTACCATGATACGTTGTCCACCTGTGGACCACATGTCACAGTTTATGGGTGTTTAAGCAAAATTATGAGGCAAGCATTCTTAAAATTTTAAGTACTGTTGGTTATGTCAGTTTTAAGCACTGGTGGCCATATTTACCCCATAATCCCATGAGGAAAACAAGAAGGAAAACAAGCCTACTGATGAGCAGTTGTGAGCGGGCAATAAGACAGGATGGGAGTATCTTTACCACTATAACTTGGCTCATATACATTCACTAGGGATAAAGCCTGTATGCCTCAAGGAGGAGTGCATGTGTACATCTTGATGTTTAGGTACAATGTATGTGTATGTATCCATATGACAAAACCAATGGCAGCCTTCACCGCAGATGCTTAGTCCTCTTCAATGGTTTAATACTTCTACTTGCAAAAATAGAAGATTTCTTTAATGTTGGTTCTAACGTTACAAGCAAAATGGGCACAACAGTCATGTTATATCCCTTACGTCACAGATAGGGAATATCTATCCAGTAGGCATGTGCATTTTTTTTAAAAAAAGATTCTAAACTGTGTTCAAAAGTAGGGGGCGCTGGTGCTTCATTTCTAAAGTCCTTTCCGAATTTGGAGGTAAAAATTTTGAAACTTTACTAAACTTCCGAATCTTCGTAAGTACCTCGTTAATTGCGGTTGCGCATGCGCTTTAAGGAAAAAATTCTGTCAGTGGGGAAAGTTGAGGGGCATCTCTCTCCCTCATTCTTTGAGCTATCCTGATAAAACTTGCTACCGTGGTAGAACACATTTACCACTGTTAGCTCACCATATTTTCAAACATTTGGCTTTATTTTTAATAATAAAGAAAATCTGTTTCTGGTTTGAAAGTGTTATTTCCTGTTTCAATGTGTGATCTTTACTTTGAAATTAGTTGTTTTACTCCAGAAACTTTGTTTTTTGTGGCAAAAACTGTGTTAAATTGGTGGAGACTGAGCAAAGCAAAATATACTGCTTTGTCCCTTGAGCAAAGACAAAGTTTTTTCCAGTGTATTAAACTTTCACCATGTTTTTATGACAGAATCAATTAGGAAATGGCATTTATAACCCAGGAACAGAAATCATAGTACAGACACCACCAAGGGACATCTAGACCAGGCATGGACAAACTTCAGCCCTCCAGATGTTTTGGACTTCAACTCCCACAATTTCAAAAAGCCTACCAGTTGTGGAAGTTGAAGTGCAAAGTACCTGGAGGGCTGAACCTTGCCCATGCCTAATCCAGACTGACCCCCTTCTTCCAAGCAGAACGGCACAATCCAAACTCTCCTTATGTCCTATTAATATTTTTTCCCCTTGACACACAACCAAGTAAGTACAATTTAGCACAGATTTATACTATTATACTATTATTTACTTACTGTAGTGCTCTTGGAAGATTCCAAGATTGACTAAATGGCATACTTTGGTGCTCCAGCCCAATATATTCTGAGAAATGTAGTTTAACGCAGGCATATAGTTTAAATAAAATTACTATCAATGGGGCTCCTATCTCCCTCATTTTTAAAGCTATTGGGGTAAAACTTGCTACAGTGGTAGAACACCTTTTTGACTCTTTACTTATCAAGTTTCATAATGTTTCACTCATCCACTGAATTTTTGGGGATTTTCAAACTTTTTAAAAACAACATTTTAAAAAAATTACAAGAGTGATCTCCCCCTCCCCCTACCTCCCTGATTGGCTGAGAGGCATGACAACATATTTGGCTTTGCTTCTCAGCAAGTTTTGGTTGCCCTGTGAATTTTAGGCTGATTCTAATGCTGTAGCCAAATGCATTCTTGGAAATGCAGGTTCACGCAGGCATTGGCTTAAATTACTTTATATGGGGAAAATTCACGGGATTCTATCTCCCTCATTTTAAAGCTATTGGGGTGAAATCTGCTACAATGGTAAAACACATTTTCACTCTTTGCCTATAATGTTTTGCTCATCCATGGATTTTAGGGAAAATATCAACATTTTTGAAAACAACATTTTTTAGCAATCTCTGCCTCTGTCTCCCCATGCCTCCTCCATCAGCTCTGATTGGCTGGAGAAGTGTGACATCAGGTTTGGCTTCACCTCTCAGCAGGGCTTGGTTGCCCTGTGAATTTTAACTCCGTCACAGCTACATCTGAACACATCCGAAGCTTAAGAATCGAAGGCTCCTTTCAATTCAAATTCTTTAATATTGGGGGGAGGGAGCAGCAAGCAGGCATATCAGAACTCGCTTCAAAAGTGCTAAACATCTAAACTAGATCTGAATAAAGGGTATGTCCGAATCACATGCAGAAGTCTACTATGCAGGTGTTTTGGATTTCGACTCCAGTTCAAATGCCCAATGGTAAAATATTATAAGAGTTGCAGTCTAAAATATATGGAAAGGTAAAGATTCTTCCCTCGTGCCTTATTGTTTGCCCAACACTGCTCATCTGTAGGTGGTAAAGAAGGGCAGGGTACAAATATTTGAAATAAATAAATAAATAAATAAGCTTGTATTCCTTGTTGTTTTCCTCATAAGATATGACTTTTCTGAAAACAAATGACTGTAATTAGTGATGCGTGTGGCCCCATGAAATAGGGAATGTGCTACTTCCTGAAAATAGGAATCAAAAGGAACTATGAAACAGGGATAGCTCACAAAACCCAGAGATTCCTTTTGTGCATCATAATCCACTAAGCACAATTAATCCACACAATCTTCTTCATAGATATCTTGGGAATGCCCAAATCAAACACCATATTATGGATACGTATGCTATTTGGTCTAGCACTTGTGTTCTCCATGCACTCCCTAGAATGGTATGCCCGAATCCACTGTCCAGTCCAGAAGGTGAGCATATTGACTCGCAGAAGTACAACAAATTCTCTATTCTTTTCTCTTACAAGGCTATATTATGATTCAAGTGTTTCCTATTCTGTATGAGTGAAATTGATAAATTAGCTCACATCCAAACACTACAACTAACGAACTTCCAATATGATCTCTCAAATAAGAAATTTCAGAAATATCAATAAATGACAGAAGCACGTGTAGTAAATGCCAGTGGGAGACAACGCCTCTTAGGACTAGAAGCAACCAATGTCAGCTTGATGAGTGCTGCTTGAATCCAAAGTACTTGAATGTTGATATGTAGACAACCTGAAAAACCATCAAGACGGTAGAATATCCAGTCTGCAGATATTCACAAGGATACCATTTTCAGTTCCCTCTGCTTCTTACAATTATAAGGAATGATAAATTAAAAATTAAAAACCAATCAACTAAGTATCAACTTAGGAGACAAAGAAACTGCCCCTTCACATCTTAATTAAAGTGGAAAGCTCTCCTTAAACTCTTCATCGTTATTTTGTATTAAATCAGGTACAAGAGGAATGGGTCTACATAAGTTGTGATCATTGTACACTTGTTTGGAGCCATTTCCTGAAGATATTGGGTGTTTATATCATTCATAATTGGTGAAAAGGATTTTATTCTATAAATAAAACGTTAGTAGAAGTATAGCTATTGCTACATCACTACCATTATTGGTCCATTTGTTCCATTATATTTTAATAATAATAATAATAATAATAATAATAATAATAATAATAATACTTTATTTATACCCCACCACCATCTCCCCAAGGGGACTCGGGGTGTCTTACATGAGGCCAAGCCCAACAACACATAAGTAAAACAACAAAGCAGCAAGCAAACAAAACAGTACAATTAATATAACTCACATATAAGCAGTAACACACAAAAATTTAAAACATTATTGCCGGGCCAGATGTAATAGATTAAAATTTTAAAATAAACACTGGGCGCAAACATAGGTAGGGTATATCTAAGCATGAGGGTTTTAAAGGATAATGTGGGGAGATCAACCCAACGGGTAGTTAAAGTGCTTCTGAGGACATTTTGCAGGGAATTGGTCAGAGCAGGGCATTGTTTCCTTTATTCAGGGAAGGCACACTGGAACAGCCACGTTTTCAGGCTCCTCCTAAAAACTGCCAATATGGGGGCTTGTCTGATATCATTGGGGAGTGAGTTCCAGAGTCGGGGGGCCACCATAGAGAAGGCCTTCTCCCTCGTCCCCACCAATCGCACCTGCGAAGTGGCGGGAGCGAGAGCAGGGCCTCTCCAGATGATCGAAGAGATCATGTGGGTTCATAAACAGAAATGCGGTCACGCAGGTAGGCGGGTCCCAAACCGTTCAGGGCTTTGTAGGTAAGAACCTGCACCTTGAATTACAGGAAAATACTTTTAAAAAAACATATTCACACTTCACTAAATGAGTCTATAATCTTACATTTAACAGTACAGGAAATATATAATTTTAAGGACTCTGAAGTATATATGTAAAGGCCTGCTGGAGTAGACCAGTGATTCATCTGCTTCCATGGTAATCAGTTACTTTTTGTTTACGTATCTCAGGAGCAAAATAGGAATGCTAAATATGCCCTACATTCCTGTTTCTCAACAGCAATTGGTATTCAGTAGCATGCTGTCTCTAATATGTGATTATCTGCATGGCCATCTTATCTTAATAGCAATTAATAAACCACTCTTTCAAGTTCAGACAGCCCAGCGCTGCTTCTGGAGAGGCCCATGGGCCAGACACCCATAGCAGTTTTCACCTGGAAAGAAACAGATCATACACATTCCAAAATTCTCTCACATTGTCCATAACCTTCTTGGATGCCATCGTCTATAACAGTGAAGCCTTCCCCAGCCTGATCCTGTTGTTGACTACGGTCCCATTACCTTCACCTTTAAAGGCTGTTGGAAAGGGATTCTGGGAGCAGAAGTGTGCAACACCTAGAAAGCACCTTAATGTGAACATTGTAATTTTTTATGCTTAACTTGTTATCTGCACCCAAATCTAACTTGACTTCCTAGATGTCCATTTGTCTCTTGCATGATCTTTCACTTTCTTAAACTTTTGTTTTTCCTTCTTTCTTTCAGAGTACATTCTGGACAAGAGTGACCCCACGTACTTGGTCCTGTTATTCCTAGGCCATAACAACCCCCAGCTGACCTTTCAAAAAGTTATTCCTCCTCTCTGCTCCGTTACTGAAAAAAAAACCTCCAGGCAGAAGCACCTGGCATTTTTCCTTCTGCTAATGGGAAGATTGTTTTATTCCTACTTCTAAGACATCCCTCAGTAGTTCTTCAAAACCTCTGCCATTCTTTTATATTAAGCTGACTAGGGGCCCTTCCACACAGCTATATCCCAGGATATCAATACAGGAAATCCCACATTAACTGAGTGTGGATAACCCAGTTCAAAGGAGACATTGTGGGATATAGGGCTGTGTGGAAAGGCCCCAGGAAATGTGATTGGGAGAGGAACTGGACTCTACTGGAGGTCATTGGGTAAATCTTCTTCTTCTCCTATGCCATAGTCTCAGTTGGGGAGAGAAGCATACCTGTAATTTATTTTTGAAGGCCATACATGCATTTGCTAATTGTGAAAATGTTGTTCAGTCGAGTTTGCAAGCAAGAAAGTGACACCAATCCTTCATTGCTTCTTCCTTTCATTTGACATCATTAATACAGAATGTTTTCACAGAACTAGCAAGCATCAGCCTATTCAGTTATTATTATTATACTGACATAAAAACACAGTATATCACAGCAAACGAGATATATATGCTGGATTTCGTATCACAAAATCACAAGTCAAACACTTCCCAAGCGTTTAGGACTGTGTAATGTATTTTCAAATGATACACACTTATTATTATTATTATTATTATTATTATTATTTCTTACCTGCCTCTCCTTAGGGCGTGAGGTGGGTTACAACATTGCTAAAACATATAATCAAAACACATCATTATTTAAAAACACTCTGTAGAATCCACGTATTAAAACATATTTCCATAAAATACAAATTGAAATACACAAACAAATGTAGAGTGAGCAGGCCTGCTGAAAAAGATAGGTTTTCACTTGTGTCTTAAATTCCAACAGTTGATCTAACTGTTGAACCTCTACTGACAAGTCGTTCCAAAGCCCAGGGATGGTTGATGAAAAGGTCTTCTGGGTGGTAGTTGCCAGTTGGGTTTTGGCTGGTTGGAGGAGATACTCCCTAGAGAACCTAAGTGTTCAGGGAGGATTGTATGGGAGAAGGTGATCCTGTAGGTTATCTGAACTCAAACCATATAGGGCTTTTAGAGTCCAATACCAACGCCTTATACTTTACCGGGAAACTAATTGGCAGCCAGTAGGGTGACTTTAGTGTAATATGATCACTCCTGGGTGTTCCCGTAACCAATCTGGCTGCTGTATTTTGAACCAACTGAAGTTTCTGAACTTGGCACAAAGATAGCCCAATAGAAAGGACATTGCAGAAGTCCAACCTTGAGGTTACCAGTGCATGGACTATCATCTTTAGGTCCTCCAAATCTGGGAATGTGTGCAGCTGGCATATTAGCCGAAGCTGATAGTAAGCACTCCTAACCATCTCTTCTGCCTGGGCTGATGTTTGGAGAGGAAGATCCAGCAGCACTCCTGAACTGTGAACACAGGCTTTCAGAGGAAGCGTAACTCCATCGAGAACTGGTTGATGGCAAGAACCTCTGATTTGTCTGGATTTAGTATCAATTTGTTTTCCCCCATCCAGCTCATTGCCTCCTCCAGGTATTCATTGAGAGGAGACATGCTATTCTTAGCTAAAGCTGTTTTTGAAGTCATGGAGAAATATATTTGGATATCATTGGCATACTGAAAATACCCAGCCCTATGCCTATGGATGATCTCTTCCAGTGGCTTCATGTAAATATTAAAAAGCATTGGGGTCAGAATGCTTTCAGCCCATTTGTGTCTGATCTGGTCTTTTGGAAACTTAGCACTTCAGGCCCTGAACCTACTATAATAGTGGAGCTGAAACCACATAATAGTTCACTTTCTCAAGTTATGAAAATGCACTCTCGAGTGCAGGCAAGCATTTTGCAAACACGCGTACTGCAGTTGTGTAATCCTGTTTCTCTTTTTTTGACTAGGTGGGTGTGAGCTGTGGGTGAATCAAAAAGCATGACACCCATTGCACAATTGATTGCATACTTGTGCAATGACACTGGAATATATTTTTGCTATGCTATACTAAAAATGCTATAGCATCTTGGCCATTGTTTTCTCAGCTCCTTGGCTCATGCCAACTCACCCATTTTGCCAACTGCACTTTCTGCAATGATATAAAAAATTCAGACCAAAATGTGGTCTAGAAGTGTTGAGGAATGGTTGACATATGTTTCTTTCTGAGTAATTTTAAATCCCAGGGGTTTTTGTCCCCCTAAAACTGGAAATGAAATTGCTAAAAATCATCCAGCGTGAAAATTTTGCCTCACCCTAGTTGCGACTTCCCTTCTAGCGTTTAGGAAAAAACTAAAGACCTGGATGTGGGACCAAGCTTTTGGCCATGCTGACAACTGATTAAAGGACCTATCGATAGACAAGGACAATGGAATGGAATGGATATATGGACTCTGATATATGGACTCTGACACGAGATAGTTTTTATGATTTTAATAGGTATTGATGTTTCATTTTAATTGTTGAACTGTTATATTTTGTATTGTTTGTTGTGTGATTTGGGCATCTAATTGTGCCTCCTTTGTAAGCCGCCCTGAGTCCCCCCCGGGGTGAGAAGGGCGGGGTATAAGTAGATGAAATAAAATAATAAATAAATAAACTGCCCCTGAAACAACAATGCCTCATGCTCACCTCCTGAGAATGGGACTACCATGTGAATATTTGGGAACCAGACATGGGCAACTTCCACCAACTCCTGAGTCTAAGGTCTACACAGGCTGTGTAGGAAGCTGGATTTCACTTCCAGAAAGGTCTCTTGGTTTAGAACTTGCCAAACTGGAGTATACCAACTATGCAAAAATAAACATATGCACAATGCTTATTTGGGGATTAGTAAAAATTACAAAAAGGTTTGTAACAGGGAATAAATTAGTTCAGAATTGACAATTATATCTCATATATGGCATTATATCTCATATATGTGCAGCCTGACCAAATTAAAGTTATAAATTAGTGCATAAAAAGACTGTGATAAAGATGGAGAAATTGCTTCTATGAACACAATTGATTCATGGGCAAAGGTCATGAGTCTTTAACAAACCGGCATGACTGTAGAGCCTCCATAAGCTGTAGCAGGCTGAATTTCCCTTCCAGAAAGCTATATGGACTCAAGCTAAGCAAAACAGGGATCCTAAGGTTAGAGATGCTCCCAGTCACTCCCAGTCAATTGTTGGCATATGTTTCTCGCTCCCAGTCAATATCTGAATTAAAATTGGGTTCTTGGGGTACTTTAAGTGGGGTATAGCCCACTTCATCAGATGTAGCAATTTCTACCTTGACTTGGAAAGATGCTGATGTTTTGTAGCTGATGGAAATATATGGAACAGGGTAGATGAATTTTGGTCCCTCTGAAATGTTTGACATTACAGCATCCCATAACACTATGTAACATGATTTTTGTTCCTGAGTTATAAATTTCCTAATTGGGTCTGTCATAAAAACACAGAAAAACTTTATTAGATTGTCCAAACTTTGTTCTTGCTGGACATCCTGAAGCACATTCAGCTATAGTTTTTCAGCTAATATTTCATAGAGTCTCAACCAACTCAACATAGTTTGTGCAAGCCACAAGAATGAAGTTTATGGCATATATGAATTACTTTCAAAGTAATTACCACATAGGTAAATGAGAAACATCACTTTCAAATCAGAAACAGATTTTTTTCCCAATTTTTTTTACATAGTGTAATCCTTTTGCCAATGGCTATAGTGGTTGGGGTCTCTACATGGTGATTTCCAAAATACCTAAAGAACAAAAGGCTAGCTATCTAGGATTACAGCCTCAGGCCCCTTCTACGCTGCCATATAATTCAGATTATCAAAGCAAATAATCCACGTTTTTATTTGAACTGGATTATATCAGTTCAAAGCTGATTATCTGGATATTATATTGATAGGGCAATAATCATGAAATTAGAGAAATCAAAGTTAAAAATGTACCCCCTCTGTATTTAGAAATGAGCTTCCACTAAGAGCCCATCTTGTCTGGAACATTGTAGTTAACATCGAAGAAACATGTGCAATCAACAACTTTCACAAGACAGTTCAGGTAGAAGGTTAAAAAGTGGACAAAGTGTCTATTGCCATATATGGGGGAAAGAGCTATTTGTACTTTCCATTGTCAAGAAAACATGTGATTTACAAGAAGTCAGTCAATGAGCTAAATAAGGAATTAAGCCTAGGTGGTAGTTTGTAATTGGATAACTTTTGCTGCAGCACCAAAGGGTCTTGTCTATATAATGTGTGTCTGAGAAACACTGGGGACAGCAGCCTCTTGAAAGTATCAAGACCTGAGTGTTTCGTGTGGCTGGCTGTCTCATGATCATGACGAAATAAACCTTGTTTTTGTACTTCTCCTGAGACTGTGTGTTTGTCTTTCTGCCTCCTGTGACCAGACCCAATGCAGGGACCCTGACTTGGGGTCCCTAACAATATGGCAGTGTAGAAAGGGCCACGGACACAAGTAAGTAATAATACTCTTCCTTTACAGGTGAACTGCCTATTCAGAACACACTCAAAGCAAATTTTTTTTTAAAAAAAAACAATTATCACAATCTCAGTCCATTATTTACAACAACAATAACAACAACAGTTTTTATTGATTAGCCAGTTGGCCTTATCAAAAACGGACAGTGCAGACACAACATACAACATACATCTAGTCCTCTTAAAATATAATATACATATACAGGTAGCCATAGATATATGTATAAACTATCCTTGTCTCCCCTACACTGCACCCCAATCCGATCTATGTACTTCTATCTCCTTTTAGCAGCTTTAAACAAATAAACTTTTGTTGTCAGAGTGGGGTTATAACCAGCCAACAAAAATGAGTTTTTGGCTGCTGTATCTCAGCTTGTTTTAATTACAAATAAATAAATAAAACCCAGTTAGATGGCCGAGGCATTGAGAGTAATCAGACAGGAAATTCACAGTAACAGAGAGGGTCCTTTGATGTGTAATAAACATGGTGGTGCAAGCATAAAAAGAGGAGCAGAAATTGGCCATGAACACACACACTTCTCTTGTGCATAGCTGCTAGAAGACTTTTCAAGGCAACAAAATGTTTGGTGTTTTATTTTCATCTGAAACATTATGCATGTCACAGGGAGGTTCCATCTATGTTGCAATATAAAATCCATATTATCTTATTTGAATGGGTTTATATGGCAGTG